GCCTTGGGTCGGAGTGGTCAGCGGAGACAGGATCTGAAACAAAACCAAAGGGTAGGCCTGAGCCCTGTTACTTGCCTCAACACAAAAGGGTGGGTGTGCCCAGCTGAGACGTATCAGTCGCAATCAACTGGAGCACACAAGACAACAGTTACATAAAATAAACCAAATATACAAACACTATTTATTGTTGCCGTTGAGCGTCTCGGCTGCAACATTCAGCTCCCTGCGCTCCTCTGGCTCCCTGGCAAAGGATGTCAGAACAGACACCCATGGATCCTCTGGAAGGTCTGCATCCTGGACCGCTGCACCTGGCTGGTTGGTACCATCCTCGCCTCCTTCCTCGTCATCTCCAGGGCCCTCCTCGTCGTTTGCAGGTCCTTCCTCGTCACCGGGACGTCCCTCTTCGTCATCTGCACGTCCTTCCTCGTCATCATCGTCGACAGCATAGGAGAGTTCCTCAGAAGGGCGATAGGGCTTCAGGTGATTCAAATGGGCCTTCAGTTGAACTCCTGTGTCCAAGTTCAGTACTTCGAAGGAAACTGGCCCTAAGCGTCTGATGACTCGAGCTGGTCCACGCCATTTACCACTGAGAGGGGGTAGTCCACCCATACGACTCTTGTGTTCATAGTACCAGACAAGGGATCCCTCTGTAGGCTGGAACACTATCTTTTTGCCTCGGTCGTAGTATCTTCCATAAATCTGCCTTGCTTGTCTGGAAGCTTCTACCGCTGCTTGACGAGCTTCTTGTAGTCGTCCCTGTAAATTGAGATTCTCTGCAAATATGGCTTCATTGGTGAGACCCACAGGAAAATTTGCGTGACGCCCAGTCAGGAGGTAGATTGGCTGTTCCCCAGTAGTACGATGTATGGCAGAATTAATCTGGAGCCGAAGTTCTGGGACAAACTGATGCCATACTCTTGGACGGTTGCCGACTAAGGTAGTAAGGGCAGCTTTCACTACACGGTTTGTCCGTTCCACCATTCCATTGGCCTGAGGATGGTATCGAATGGTGTAATGATTTCGTGGCATGCATCATTTTTGTTAGTTCTCTGAAGATGTTGCTGGTGAACTGTATCCCATTATCTGTTTGGATCACCCTGGGAGGTCCAAAGAGGGTAACCCAATGATCCATAAAGGCCGAATGGACAGCTGCAGCAGTAGCCTTCCTCAGTGGAACAATCTGCAGGAAACGGGAGTGCTGATCCAGGATCGACAGGGCCCAGCGAACTGGAATGGATGGACCAAAGTCCATTAGGTCCATAGATACCCGTTCCAAGGGAAATTCTGCTAATGGTGTATCAGCCATTGGAACCTTCTGCATGCTGCCTCTTGACTGCTGGCAGATCAGGCAACTGTCAACATACTGCCCTAACATCTCGCAGCATATTAGGCCAATAAAACATTGCCCTAGCATTCTGGAAAGTACGATGGATGCCTGGATGTGATGCTAAGGGTGGAAGATGAGATGCCTTGAGAGCAGAATTCCTAAGCTTCTGGGGAACAAACAGCTGGTAGCATATGCGGTCTGGGAAGTGCTTCAGCCTATAGACCACATTATCCTTAAGTTCAAATTCGCAGAGAGGAAGGGGTAACTTCTTTTTGGGCAAAGTCCCTTCCACTAGATATTTGCGAACATCACTCAGTAGAGGTCAGCTTCCTGTTCTGCAGCAAGTCTCTCTGGAGAGAGGTCAGTGATGGTGAGCTTAGCAACTTGTCGTGAAAGCAGGTCTGGTACATGGTTGGTAGGACCCTCCTTGTATCGTATATTGAAATCATAGAATGACAGGTCATGTGCAAACCTAGTCATCCTGGGAGACTTAGTTTTTCTGGAGAAAATGTAAACCAGTGGGCGATGGTCAGTGTAGACAGTGAAGTGCCTCCCATAGAGGTACGAGTCAAATACCCGAACCCTTCAACCACTGCAAGGGCTTCCAAATCTATGGCAGGATAGCGGGTCTCAGCATCCCTCAACTTCCTGCTGTAATAAGCAATGGCGTACGGCGTGTTGTGCACATCTCTCTGCATCAAGCAAGCACCAAGGGCTACACTGGAAGCATCAGTATGTAGCTCAAAGTCTCTTGAAAAATCTGGCTGCCTCAAGACTGGTGCAGTTGTGAGGCGCAGCTTGAGTTCTTCAAAAGCGGACTGTTGTTCGGCCCCCCAGATCCATTTCTGCCCTTTCTTTAAGAGTAGATGCAGTGGTGATGCGACCGTTGCATAATCAGGAATATGCTTCCGATAGAACCCAGTGGCTCCTAGAAACCTGCGTACCTCCCTCACAGTGCGTGGTGCAGGAGTCTTGGATATAGCAGTTACCTTTTCTTGGTTGGGAGACACTCCTCCTGGTGAGATAGTGAAGCCCAGGAAGTCAATAGTACTGGCAGCAAATTGACACTTCTGTGGGTTAAGCTTAAGACCAGCAGAAGAAAGAAGCTGTAAGGTCTCGGCGAGGTGCTGGAGATGTTGAGTAAAACCTCGGCTGTAGATGATCACATCATCGAGGTATGCCAATGTATGCCGTCCAAGTACTGGTGCCAGAACAATGTTCATTGTTCTCTGAAATGTTGTAGGAGCTGTGGATAGACCGAAGGGGAGTCGACAGAACTGAAATAAGCGGTACCCATCGAAAAAGCAGTTTTGGGTCGATCCGTTGTCTCCAGTTCAACACTCCAATATGCAGCTCGAGCATCTAGTGTGGTAAACGTGTCCATTGGGCCTAACTCATCAATCAGCTCATTGATGCGGGGTAGAGGATAAGCATCTTTCTTCGTTACAGCATTGTCGATAGTCCACACAGAACCTTAGACCACCTCCTTTCTTCTTCACAAGCACTACTGGACTTAGCCAGGGTGACGTGGAGGGCTCAATGACTCCAGCATCCAACATTGAATCACACTGGTCTCTGATGGCTTGTCGGGTTGATTGCGGCAGTCTCCATTGCCGGATACTGACTGGTTTGGCGTCACCAGTGTCAATCTTGTGGCTAATTCCAGGTACAAGTCCAACGGTTTCTTCTCCTCCTTCAAAAAGTTCTTTGTGCTGGTTCAGGAGTTCAGTTAGCTGGTGTTGTGATTTGGTATCCAGATGGGAAAGATCTGGTACAAGACTGCTCTCATCAGGTAGCGGAGATGAGAGAAGTTGTTCAGCTGCTTCACAAGCAGCAATGGCAAGTGAGGGGTAGCTCTGCCTGCTCGACCTCAGCATCACTGTCGTCGAAGTCTTCATAGAGGAGAGTATCAGCAAAATCCTCCCAAATGAAATCCTCTTCCTCCCACTCAAATTCAGTGTCCTTGTCTTCGCCTTGGGAATCTGTGTTGGCAAGATTGTTAGAGCTCAGGATTCTGAAGAATCCTCTACCTCTTCGCTGAAATCGTCACTGGAAGGGCGTGCCTGAGCCCTCAGAGAGGATGCCTTATCCTCAGGAACTTCAATTGCTGGAGAGTCTGTCTTGACAGGGCATACATCTGACCTGGCAAGGACGGTCTTGCTTTGCTCTGTAAGTGGAGGCTTACTTTGGCTGTGAAAAGCGCTTCCACTGATGCTACGGTGCCTAACCGTGTTCCGCCATGGAGTATTAGGGTCTTAGGGGTAGGGTTTACTGCCCACACAAAACAGCAGCGATCCTTGACTGTTGTCACCGAATGAGGAAGAATGAGGTTTCCAGTTGTCGTAGGGGTTACAATCACATCACCATCTCTTGGACCTGCTCGGCGATTCGGCTATCCAGAAAGCACCCAGTATGTGGAGGAACATCTGTACGAGCAGTGAGGTGAACAGCAATCCCAGGTGAATGCTTGTGGTCCTGTGTTGGAAGCATCTCTGTACTGAACTCAGCTGGTGTTTCTGGGTTTGAAGCTGTGGTAGAGATGACACGAACATGAAGAGATTCGACATCAGTGTACACAACTGAGAATGGTCTTCCTTCCAGAGAAAGACAGCTACTGGTGGTGTTGGGTCATGCGTGAGGGAGAAGTCCAGTCTTCGAAGAAAATCCATCCCCAGGAGTATATCCCCAGGATAAGTGACATCTACTAGCGTAACTTGGTGAGGAATAAACAGGTCATCATCCAGCTGGAAATGCAGGGTCACTTCTGATGTGGTTGCCAGTGGTTGTCCTGTCACACCCGCAGTAATTTAGAAGATCTGATGCGTCGAAGGTTGTTCTGGGGATCAAGTCGTCTTAGAATGCTAGGTCTAATCAGGGTGGCCTCGGATCCAGTATCCAGAAAACACAGCACAGTCTGGTCATTAGCTCTGAGTGCCACGAGAGGCCGTCCTGATGGTCCGGTGGCATTCACTGTTGAGACCGATATTGAAGTGTGAGTCTGCGTTCCAGTTGTTATTGCTCCTGGCTGCGGCTTCGCCAGAGAGGTTGGGAGCTCTACCATCCTGGCTGGTCGGAAAGGGGCAGTCTTTGGCTAGGTGTCCCGGGCGTCGACATCGGAAACATATCAGGCTTCTAGGCTGTTGCAGGTTTCTTGTTAAAGGAGCAGCGGCAGCTCGACACTCAGAAGTATTGTGTGTAATACTCTTGTGGTGCTCACACCAGTACCGATGCTCTGGAACAGGGTGTGATGGTGATTCAGCCACAGGATAAGCATAAACATCCCGTGATCGAGGTGGACGCTCAGGGAAGCGATGATGATCACCAAGATCATCCATGGACATCTGGCGTGAAGGCGTGGTCCCATGCTGAATACCGTTCCGGGAGTTCCATATGCGCTGTGCAGCTTCAGCGAGTTGCATGGGTGAGCCTTCATCCCTTACTGCTAGAAAATCTCGGAGCCAAGATGGTAGCCCAGACAGGAAGACACGGCGATGAGCTCAGAGGGATCTCCAATGGCCTCTCTATGGTCGCGGTATCCCTGGTAAACTGAACCTTCTAGTTGGATGTAAAGTCCATAGGGGCTTGGCCAGCAACCATCTTGTTCTCGTAGAGCACCTTGAAGAAATCAGATGATGTGTAGGTACCTCGGAACTTTGCACGAAGCGAAGCCTTG